TACACCCCCCCACCCCCCAAGGCTCTGGTGTGTGAGGGGAGTGTGGAGAGCATCTTTCTCCTTCTCAGTTGGGGGCCGCTTCAATGAGGTGTTTTGGGGGGACGTGTGGTTTGTTGTTGGTTTTGTTTTGCTTCTCACTTCTGTGTGGTCCCTGAGTGGTATGTTGGTTTTGTTTTGCTTCTCACTTCTATGTGGTCCCTGAGTGGTATTTCTATGGGTCAGTGGCCCCCAACTTAGAAGGAGAAAGGTTCCCCACCCCTGATACAGTAGATAGCTGTTCCTTCTTCCACCCTGCCCCCTGGTGGCCCAATGGGATTATAGCTGTCCCAGTCCTCATCTCTGGTTCCTTGCTGCCACCCTGTGGCCATTCTGCATAAAACTCCCTCCCACTAAAAAACCCTCAATGCAAATCCCATTATCCTGACACAACTAAACCTTGCCCTTGCTTTAAGTTATGAAAAGAGGAAGGTGCATATCAAACCTGGTGGTCCTAGCTCTTACTGTTTAGAAGGAGTTCTTGAACAAATGGACTCACAGACAGACGCACATTTCTAAAATGCATAGTAAGAAGATTTGGGTGCTTGACGTAACTTTTGTGCTCTTTGAAGTAGCTTTTTGTGTGCAATATATGCGTAATAAATAATAAGTCATTTAAATTTACTTCAATAAGGCTAAAAACGAATGACTTCCCAAACCACCAGCCTGGCCCTGCCCACACTCCACCCCCAGAAGGCCTGCTGTAGGCATTCTGGGACTGGAGTGTTGCTGTCTCCAGCACCTTCCCCCAACCACGGCACTCCGGGGCTGGGGAGGCTTGGGCTGCACAGCCTCCTCCCTCCCTGGTGCTCCAGGGGCCAGGGAGGCTGGAGCCACATGATCTCCCCCCTCTCTGCTGCTTGGAGGCTGGGGAGGCTGGAGCCATGTGATCTCCTCCCTCCCAGGTGCTCAGGGACAGGGGAGGCAGAGGTGTGCGGTCTCCTCCTTCCCCAGTGCTCCATGGGCCGGGAAGGCTGGAGCCATGCAACCTCCTCCCTCCCTGGTGCTCTTCTCCTCCCTGTGGTGGAGGTGGGGTCTCAGCAGAGGAAGTGAGGCTGGGAGCCTGTATCCCCCAGCCCCAACTGCACTGACCGTCCATGAGGTCAC